TAGCTAGCCTGTGTACTCAAGGGGGAAAATATTTTCAAAACTCTCACACTGCAGTTCTATCTCTGTCAAGTATCTCACATTATGTAAATCATTTCCATTATACCCTGATTTTTTTACACTTTACGTATTAAAAATGCAATCAACAAGGCCTGCATCTATGCAGCATTAGAAATGGGACATATATATCACTTTTAAACCAATGTGGTGCCAAGTATTCTCACCCCTTCATACTATTAAAATAGGCATAAACAGGTTTAGAAATCTGTTTTCACACTACAAAATTCATTGATGAGAATGGCTCAAGACTTCATCTAAGAGAATGGCTTAGCTAAAACAAAACTAGGAGGCACACCCATTTTCATTTATGTAACCAAGTAGTTTGAGATGTTTCAATGGTAAGATTCTGGGTTGGCTTCTAAAGCTGCTAGGTAACTGTAATGTACTTGTCCATACAGACAACTCTGTATAAAAAGTTTATTGGTATTGATAAGAGCACTACTACAACTAGTGTAATGCAAATCAAAGCATCTTCTTCTCCTCTAACCCCACCATTCAGAAAGAGAAGCATTTCATAGTTTTAACAGTTGCTTAAGATTATCATACACTGAATTTGATCCAGACTGGAAAAATGTCCCCTTGCCCATTGCCACATCCCTTCTGCATATTATGTTAAAAAACAACATACCAAATGTATTATATGTTAGGTCATGTGTTTGGGCCAGTTTCTAAAGGATGCTTTGTATCTGTTTACCATGAAGTGAGAGGGCAGAATAAAATGAAGCTCATACCAGAACTTGGTTTTTGATTTGGCATACCCATTTCAAAGGCAAGTATTTTAAACCTCAACCTGAAGAGAGACAACAACATCTATGGCCTCCCTCACATGGGTGCCAAAGGATTTGGGGGCGGGGGGGGGCGCGGGGATGTAAAACACTAAAAAGCGGAAGAGAGGGCTAATTTCTCACCAAAAAACCTATAAGCACATTTTGCCTCCTTTCTCTGGTTCTACAAATGCTAGAAAGATGAGACTCTGGGGAAGATGGTTCATGGCTGGAGTGTTCTCCCCCGCCCCAACACCACCTTTGCTCTCTCACATGCATTTTATTTTGCTTTCGGAGTTAAGTGTTCCCGCCCAAGGAAGAGTTCTGTGTAACTCGGAAGCGCACAACCATAACACAGACCCGATGAAGCCTGCAATCGTTTCCCAACAGGGCAATATCGGATCTGGATGCACCAAGAAAGCGTCTCTTTAGCAGGTTTTCTCCAACCCGCTCCCCCTTTATCCCCGCATCGTTATTCCCCCTTCCCACGATATAGATACACAGTGCGTGTGTACGTGTACCATGATCAGGAGATTCCCGTCCTTTTCCCCGAGAGAGGGATGAGGGACCCAGGGAAAGACTTGAACCCTTCCCTTTGAGAAAAAGAAACCCACCACCGCCCTGACCTCGCCTCCCCTTCCTCGCCCCTCCTGCCGCCGCCGCCGCCTCACCGTGTAGGTCTCCACCAGCTCCGAGCCAAGGATCCGGACCCCTTTCGGGGGCTCCTCGCCCTCCTCCCCGGCCCCGACCACCTCCATCTCGGCCGCTCTTCAGGCAAGAAGAGGGCAGGGCAGGGCGCCAGGGACGGCGAGATGGAAGGCGCCGCTGGGGCGGAGAAACTGCGCTCACTCGGCCGCTCTCCTCAGGCGAGCTCTGCCGGCCGCTGCTGCTGCTGCTGTTGTTGTGGCGGCCGCTGCTGCTGCTGCTGCGCTGCCCCCTCCCCACGGGCCGCTGCCAGCGCAGCACCCGCCGCCGTCACAGCCGCCATGTTCGGCTTCACTCCACCCGCCTGCCCGCCTCCCTAACTCGGCTGGCTCCGGCAGGGGCGGGGCGAGGAGGAGGAGGAGGAGGAGGAGGAGGAGGAGGAGGCCTCGAGAGACGCCGCCGCGCGACAGCTGTCATTCGCAGCCTGCGTAAGGGTCGAGGAAGCCCCGGGCGTAGGGGGCGGGGCTAAAGCGCGGGAGGGGGGGGAAGGAAGAAACATGGACTTTCGAAAGAAGTAGAGCCGCAGCTCCTTCAGCTGGAGGACGGAGCTTCCGGGTTACTTTCGACCCCTAAAAAAAAAGAGGCAGCTCCTCAGAGGAGAGGTAATGGAGTGCAATGTGGCCCGAGTGTTCCCTGCATTTTTCTAGCAACGGTGCCCCATCTGTTGCTTGTTCCCACCTGCTTTGGAACCAGTCTGTTGACTTGCAGCTTCACCCCTGAGTTTCTTTTGGAAAGAAGGTGTTGCAGTTCTGATACGGTGCTGACATAAGAAGCCGGTTGCTCCGCCAGCCACAGAATCCCTCACTCTTGACTAGTCAGTCCTTGGCCTGTGCTACTGAGCCACCCGCATCTATTACTACAAGTTAACCCAGACAACACAGTCTGCCTCGTTATGTTGCAAATCACCCCTACAATCTGGCTTTTGCTGTTATAATGGTAGCCTGCACCTGTGAAGGAGGCTCCATTTTTGCCTGGAGAGGCACGGAAAGAACCTCCATTATGCAACGTAGATATGTCCAGGCAAATGCTGTTTATGCAACAAATTGCTTCACCTCATGAGTACACCCATGGACGTAAATCTTTGTCATCCTGTTATCCTATCACTTACAAAATTCAAAGGTAAACAAAAGAGATTTAGATGGAAGAATCCTCATGGAATGTTAAGCTAATAAATAATCAGCTGAAACGCTAATAGAAAACTTGCCCTTCCTTCTCCCTCACTGGAGCAACTATCCAGCAAGGCCCAAAGGATGTGGCAATCTTTCTGTCCTCGCTAGCTCTCAGCTGGCTCATTAACCAACTATTTTTCTCTGCCTCTTAACCACAGTCTGTCTTGCTCTTCAAAATGCCTATTTTTTTTTAACTCCTGTGGCTCCAGGGAGACATTACCAAAAGCAGAATAAGAGCTTTTAAGTTCTGCACTCCATTTTTTTCTTTCCTAGCTACTGTATGAGTCCCAAGCAAGTTTTGTCTTTCGTTTCTGAACATGACTTTAAATTTTTTTAAATGTAATTTATGACAACTGTCTGGGGCATGCATTTTAAGGATTATTTTTGGACTTGTCTACGTTAACCTTTATGGTAGGATTTAGATCTCTAATAATTTATGTAACCTCTTTAAGAATTACTGTATTAATAGTGTCTGTTGTTTTGCTTATAGCTCCTGAAAAATGCTTTATTATTTTACTTCTGAATGCACTGAGCTACAAGAACAAGCTTTGCAGCAGTGTGAATCAGAGCCTGTTCACCTTTTTGGCTCATTCATCAAGTAGAGCCAGCCAGTACCAGCCTAAGACAGTTTGCTATAAGTGGCGAAGGACAAAATGGTCCCTTCCCTACCCACATTCCATGTTCAGAAACCCACCAGACTGGCAAGCAAACACCAGGGCTGGAGCAGCATTCTCCACTGTGCCTGAAGGCAGCAAGCTAGTTTAGAGGGCACAGGGCAGCTCGGTTCTCCACCACCTCACAGCTATTTTCCTGGCCACATCACACTGCTTAATGATAGGGTGCCCCAGAGCCATCCATTACCTGAGAATACAAGTGCAGAGGATGAAGAATTTAGAATGCCAACTCTTAGCATTGGAAGAATGGAGAAAAAACCTCTCCCTTTGACCAGGAGGATATTTAACATTTGTTATAATTATATACAGTGGTACCTCTGGTTACGAACTTAATTTGTTCTGGAAGTCCGTTCTTAACCTGAAACTGTTCTTAACCTGAGGTACCACTTTAGCTAATGAGGCCTCCTGCTGCCGCCGCACGATTTCTGTTCTCATCCTGGGGCAAAGTTCTTAACCCGAGGTACTACTTCCGGGTTAGCGGAGTCTGTAACCCATAGTGTTTGTAACCCAAGGTACCACTGTATTAGTCTTATTGATCTTATGTTAGCTGCTTCATGAGCATTGTTGGCTGATGTGGGGGTAAAACACAATATGACTGAACAAATAAATATAGGAAATAAATCCATGTTAAGTGATCCTGACTATTGTAGTGCCATTCTTACGTACCTCTACTCGTTCAAAGTAAAGCCCACTTGCAAATTCTTCACATAAGTTTCCATTTACAGATGAATTACCGGTAGTTTCTTGCCAGCTCTACCTACCTGTGTGCAAACACAGTTGGACAGAGGGGGGAGCTCTGAATCAGTGGAGAGAGAGATTGTTCACTCTAGCATATGTATAACCTCAATACCAATGCATGTCCCTAAACAAGCTAAGTGAATGATGGAACAAATTGTTTTGCCAAGGGTCGACATGAGTTAAGAATTTAACAAGCTTACCCCACAGATGCTTGCAGAGAATTTGGTAAGAGTCAGTTCAAACATTTGGACTATTGTGTGGTACAGTTATTCAGATGGAAGACTCTCCTTCACTACTTAAAAAGGAAACAGAAGTGGTTCCATTGGGTGGAGTGAAGGACTGTGCCATAAAGCTGCATGTGAAAGGTTTATATTTGAATTGTTTCTCAATTGTCACAGAGTGTACAGCTAGACCACCATAGGCTCATGTTCTTGCCCCTGACATTGTGATACACGTGTGATACACAAGGAAAAGGCTTCCTTTGGAAAGGACAGGTCTTCCAATAGGATACTCATGTTCTGTTGGTAGAAAATCAGCTGTGCATAGTATACAAAGCACTGGTTTTGCTGTCAGTAAGTCATATGGATGAATTTGAGTGCGGAAAACTAAAGCACCCCCAAAATGTGGAACCATCATTCCGTACGTGTGCCATCTGATCCCTGAAAGAAGCATAAGTGTAGCAAAGATCAGGTTGCACTTTAGTTCTGAAGTATAAAACAAACAAAGTAAGCATCAGTGGAATTAGGATCATGTTTTAGAAATGTCAGCTGTAACAAACTTTGCATGCTTCCCATTGAGACAAGGTGAAGAGTCTTGCTTAGAATGGATAGGATGGCTTTATATGCCGGGCTGTGTAGCGATCAGCAGTCCCTGGCTGACACATTTAGGGCTGACAGCCTACTATATAAGCAGAGCTTCAAGGGACAGAGAGCTGGCAGAGACCTTAATTTTGTCTCTGTACAGTTTGTCATCTCCATCCAGCACCGGGCCAACAGTAACAAACCATGGATGATATTTACAAGGCAGCAGTAAGTAATATTTTCATACATGATGATATAAAGCTGAGGCTGGGACTTGCTTCTGCATAAGCAAGCACAGGATTATGCTCCACATGTCTTAACAAGGTGCAAATATTAATGTTCTGGTTAATGCTAGTGATGATGTTAGATTCATTTTTATCATTAATGTTAAATGTAATAATGGAGATCCTTCAACTTGTTGATATGATAAAGAGATTTGCCATACAGCTTAAGTTCCCTTAAAAAAAAAAAAAACTTGGACAAATGCATTGTTGCTTAATTTAATGAAACTTACTGTGTTTTATGTGAAAGTCTGTTTTCATTGTAGCCCAGCTCTAAACAGAGTATATATTTTAGGTTTTTGTTTAATGGATTAGGGATGCCTAACTGCATAAGGCTGTTGTTGAGCATAATTTAAAAACTACTTTATCTTTGTACTATTATAGCCAATATGTTTTACAGAAAATGCAGATAGCAGTGAAACAATTTATTATTTATATATGCAAATATAGTTTTTTTTCCAGAAGTTCACAAGCTGAAGGGTTTTTGTTGGTTTGTTTAATTTGGAATTCATCTATAATTTCCCCTTCTGCTCGTAATTGTGAACTACAAGGGGGCCTGAGAAGTAATGTTGTTATAATTTTTTGCGCCTATGGTTTTGACCACTGCTCTGCAAGACGAATTTTGAAGGAAAATGCTCACTCTGTTCAATGAAGAAGAGGACATGAGATCACAATTGCCTAAATTTCAGGAGAGTTAGATTAGTTATTATTTTTAGCTTGGAATGTAAGTCAAAGGGGTAAGGAGAGAAACTAATGACAATAACAGAAATACTCTCACTAATTCCATTTTAATCGGGGGAAGAACAGTTCTGGCTATATCTGTAATCTAACTGGGCTTATGTTCTGCTGTGGTTAAGATTGTTAATAAGAAACCCTAATAAGACAGATGGAAGAAGGGATGATTCCTGCCTGAGCATATCCTGGTGATGGCTAAGCTCCTACAAGTAGGTTTAAACAGCTGCTATGTGCTGTAAATAAATAATCCACTGAGGCAAAAGAATGTATCTGGGCTGTTGCACACATTTCTGTCTAAAATACAGAAGATTCTTTTTCCAATACTGTATGGGACAACACTGGGCTATCTGGGTTCTGCATGTTTTGCATTTTCTTACTAATAAAAGGGTCTGCAGGCTGCAAGTTGGTAGTCAACCCCAGACAGCACTGTCTGCTTTCTGAGCAACACTGTTGAGACTAGGCTCATAAAGGCATTGAGGGAAATTTATTTATAGCAAAATTTACTTTACATTTAGTACAGTGGTTCTACACCCCTTGTCATAGCCATTAACTTATTTGCCTTTACAACAATTATAGAGGAAGTCACTGGTTTTCCCATGTTGTAGGAATAGAATTACAGCCACTTAAGAGAGTTCTTCAGCCTTGTCCATTTGGGGCTCCTGGTCAACAAGATGATCCTTTATGTGTTGCCTTAGCTTAAGCCTTGTACATGTTTATCTTACGACATTTGTATCCTACTCTTTGCCCAATGAGCTCAATGCTGATTTCTTTCCCCATTTTATGCTCACAACAAACCTGTAAGGGAGGTTTGGTTGAGAGTTGTGACTTGCCAGAGGCCGAATGGCTGAGGCTGTATTTGACCCCAGGTCTCTCTCTTGTCCAATCCTCTAACAAGTTAACATAAAAAGGCAGCAACTGGGGTGCCGAGCTGGAAACGAAAGAATGTTACATTAGTCCGTCATTTACTGCAAAGTACAATCATCTTTACATGCATGCAACTGCTCCTGTAACACATGTAATTTTGCAACCACTTGTTCAAAGGAATCCAGCGGATTTATCACGTTGCCCGCTCACATCTCTTCTGCAGAGCTAAGTTTGGAATGCTTTCCAGATGCCAGTGTATACAAAGAACATTTTCAGGGCCATGGGTTGAGATAAAAGCCTCCAGTGATAAATACCAATGTCAGTCAGCTTCTGTGAACAATCAGAAGGGTTATCTTTCTTAACAGCATCTCAGTCACTAGGGCATAAAAATAGCCAGCGTGCCAAAATAGTCAAGTTATGTGGAGCACACAAAAGTGACAGGAGGCGTTTGTTTGCTGTCTCCAACTATCTTGGGTTGTCGGTTTTTTTTCTTTTTTCTTTTTGGTCATCACAATGAAAGAGCATCTCACAGCTGCTCTACTTCCATCACAGAGGCTTATATAAGCGGGTTCAGGTTTCACTATGAAATTTGGAACTGGCATCTTGCTGCTATTGTTATCTGTTTCCATAGATTATCCCCCTCCCCCATCTTGTCATTCGTTTTCTGCAGCCTTCCAACGCAATACAAGCAAGGCTGACGGATGGGAGACCAGTATTTCTATGGGGTGGTTCTGACCTCATAGGTAATTGGAATCTTACCTCATAGGTAATTGGAATCTTACCAAGATTTTACAGGTTGATCCATGTGTGTCAGTTTATTCTGAAAAGATTCTCCAGATGGAAACAGGACTGGTCAGGAATAAGGGAGTAAGGGATTGTTTCTCAACAGCCATCTTTACACAAAGATGTGTAAGGGGGACAGGGCAGAAGGTGTATCTTGGAGATGCTGACATGTAGGAAGTGGTATCTGCTTGTATGTAGGAGGAGTACAGCAGAGTTGGAGTCCAAGACTGGAGTCCAATGTCCCAGTCAGAAGAATAATGAGCTGGAGGGTGGGTGTGTGTCCCTGGGTCTGAACCTGAATTTAGAGCCAACACTCTGTCACCCCACCACCAGCTTTCAGAAGAACCTGGAAGTCTATTCTGCATACCATAAGCACTTAGGCCTGCTCACCAAAGGCAACAGAGAGGATAAATCAGAAGTACAAGGCCCAGATCACAAGCATGGATATTTTGAGGGGATGCTCCTACAGTGCTACCTCGGGTTACATACGCTTCAGGTTACATAACGCTTCAGGTTACAGACTCAGCTAACCCAGAAATAGTACCTCAGGTTAAGAACTTTGCTTCAGGATGAGAACAGAAATTGTGCAGCGGCAGCAGGAGGCCCCATTAGCTAAAGTGGTGCTTCAGGTTAAGAAAAGTTTCAGGTTAAGAATAGACCTCCGGAATGAATTAAGTACTTAACCCGAGGTACCACTGTATTATGTATTAACTTGAGCACATAGCAACTAAATGGTACAAATTAGCATTTAGTATCATTAAAGGAGATGCTGGCTAAATCCCACGAGGAAACAACCAGGCAAATTAGATGTGCATATCTGATGTTATGGTGAAGATGTTATGTTGCCTATTAAATACAATGTTAATGAGAAGGGATGCATCAAGAGGAGAATTCACAATCAAGCCACCACTAATTTGGGGGAGAGACAGAGAGAGAGAATTTAATTCATGTCAGAGCAGGTGAAGGTGGAGGATACTGAAACATTTTACTTTTAAGAAATTAATATATCTGTTTTGTTAGCCTGTAATGTCTTACTACTGGAAGGCTATATTTGACTAAAGTACAAGGATGATATATATACAAATAGTTATACTGTATGATTGAACTGAGTCTTTATTTTAATAACAGGTTGAGCAGTTGACAGAAGAACAGAAAAATGGTAAGCTTGTGCCATTTATCTTCCCATTTATTTCACAAGAAGGCTGTTTGCCGCATTGTCAACTTGTAATTGGGGTGGTTGACTAACCAATTAGCCACCAGCGCTGACAAGTAATCAATATGTAAAATAAAGAGCTTGGATCCAGAGCTGGTGGAAGATGACCATTTGTGAAGTTCAGCCTGCTACCACTTCACTCTAATCTTAAGAGGCGATTTCCTGCTTATGCTTCCCAATCCTTTATTGGCAGATGCAGGATATAAAGAAATTCCAGAGATGTTTTTAAAAGGGGTCATATAGACCTATGAAGCTGCCTGATGATGTTAGATCAACTGGGCCATGATATGACATGAAGTTGCCTGGTACCAAGACAAGGTACTGGTTCCAAATATTCCAGTACTGTTGACTGTCTATCAGGGGCTTCCCACAGTAAGGACCTCTTGCTACCCGAGAGATTGACCCCGGTCTGTATGTGCATGGACCATGTGGTCTATTACTGAGCTATGGGCCCTCCACAGATTGCATTTGGCATATTTTTGAATTAAAATATAAACTAACAGAGTACATCTGTGAAATGCTGGGAGGCTGAATGTCCTTGAAACTCTTTTAAGCCTTTTAACGTTTTGAGCTTAGCTGTTCCCATTCATGAAAGGGAAGGGATGAGAGACAATCAATCTGGCATAATTTTGAAGGCAGGAGTAGAAAGCTGCCAGCTATTTTCTGTCAGTCACAGCTGGAAAGTCTGCTGTAGGCTTTGAAGCCTCCTTGTTGAATTCAATGTGGCAAACCCTGACTTCATTTCTTCCTCCAGAATTCAAGGCTGCTTTTGATATATTTGTCCTGGGTGCAGAGGATGGGTGTATCAGCACAAAGGAGCTGGGGAAGGTGATGAGAATGCTGGGGCAGAATCCTACCCCCGAGGAGCTGCAGGAGATGATTGATGAAGTAGACGAAGATGGTGAGCTATTTTTTTCTGGGATCTGGAAAGGAAAGTTTAAAAATAGTAAAACATTTTTTTTTCTTGAGAGGCTGTGTGGAGGAGGAATGAAGAGGAGTTGAACCAGATGTCCTTTGGCATATTCTGCATTTTTATCTTGTGAACTGCCCGGAGATCTTCGGATGAAGGGTCGTATATAAATTTAATGAATTAATAGCAACAACATTATTTTTATTTATAGCCCATGCATCTGGCTGGGTTTCTAGATGGAATTCTAGATGGAAATCATCATATTGAAATAATTCATCACACCTCCTTGAATGTTTATGGATTCAAAGAATGGATGAAACAAGAAGAACAACTAACAACACGAGCAACAACAATTTGGGATAAAACAACCACCACCATTTAAATTTGAAGGAAAAACAAACCTCTGTCAACTGCTACAGCATTTACAATATAAACTGGCTTTTTTTATTAGCCGTGTTCGGAATATTTATGTAGAAATGCTCAAGGTGGTAAGTTACCTTTGTTGTTTTCTTTTTCATTGACAGGTAGTGGCACTGTAGACTTTGATGAGTTCTTAGTTATGATGGTCAGGTGTATGAAAGATGACAGCAAAGGAAAATCAGAAGAAGAACTTTCCGATCTCTTCAGAATGTTTGACAAGTAAGTACCTTGTGGACCTAGATAGTGATCAAGTGGAGACAGAACGTTTCTAACACTCATACCTAGTGACTAGTAATATGCAAGAAGAGGATAACTAGCTTTCATAGACTCCCTTCACTGTGATAGCTGCCACTATGAGGATGGGGGAGAAATCATTTCAGCTCACATTTCAAGGCAATATGCAAACCGAGACACAACCAGCCTGCAAAATTCACATTTCTCTGAATATTGCAATTTTTTTTATTACTTAATATATTGACATCCTGCCATTCTCCCAGGTTGGGATTCATTGTAGTCCTCCAGCCAAGTAATGCACAGAAAAATGCATATACCAGGGTGGAGTTTTCATAAAATGCATAATTTAGTAAAAAACACCATACAAAAATGTATTGTATTAGGGGAAAGTGCATTGCAAAGGTGGATATATTAGGCAAAATTAGGCATAGAAACATTAGAAGAATGTCATGACATAATGATACCATGTGATTCTTGTCCTACCCACCTGACAAAGTTGGCCTGCAGGGGGAAGGCTAGATAAAAATCTGACCCCCTCAGGGGCAAGAAGGTTCCAGAACTTTCTCTTCATCATCATTATCTTGACAGGTTGGATGACCATCTGTCATGGATGCTTTAGTGGAGTTCCCTGCAGTGCAGGGGGTTGGACTAGATGACCCTTGGTTCCCTTCCAACGCTACAATTCTATGATTCAACACGCTTGGATTTTTTCCCTCTTTCACGTTGGCCAACCATTAAGACCCAAAACTTCAGGGCTGATATTTAGATGGGTACGAATGTTGCATTTGCACATGTGCATTTAACAGCTCCACTAGATTATCATTCAGCTGTTTGCAAGTCCTTTCTTTGTAAAATTCAGATCTCTGACAAACTGCACGTGATCATATTGAAATACAAATATTAATGCCAAACAATGCCTTTTGGGTTGTTTGCTTGATCTTGTGGTGTATCGCATAGAATACAGTGTTCAAATAAACGCTCGGCTGCAATGCAATGCTTGGTGAGAATGAAGAAATGTGCGGGAATGGAATTCTCCCTTTTTTTGAGCTCTCCCATCTCTTCACAGAAATACAGATGGATACATAGACCTAGACGAACTAAAACTCATGTTGCAAGCTACAGGAGAAACGATCACTGAAGACGACATTGAGGAACTGATGAAAGATGGAGACAAAAATAACGATGGCAAGATTGACTACGATGGTAAATGACTGTGTGTAACTTTGCATATAAATCACAGCAAGAATTGCAGTGCTCTTAGATGGCAACCACTATAAAGAAAAAGAGGGTGGGGGGACACACACACACACACACACACACACACACACACACACACACTGGACCTAATCTTAAAAACTCAGAGTCATCATTACTTAAAGACCAAAGGTACTCTTTTCAGTTAAATCCTTCCAGCTTGGGACCAGCTGACTTGAAGCATCACCTTATCCCATAAATGCCCACTTGACTGTTTTGATCTGTGGATCTGGGAGTGCCCCATAGTGTTCATTCCACACTTGCAAGGAATCCTACAGTATAGCCACACCTGCACTTTTGAATTCCCTGCCGATTGATAATTGGCAGCACCGCAAAACTAGGCTTTCTTTCACCTGGGTAGAAGACTCACATCGACCAGCCCTATGCGCATTTCCATACACATGCACATGCGTACACACGCACACTCCTCTGCTCCTTTCTGATATCTAGCTCCTGAGGGATTATTTGACATTGTGCCCATTATAGCAGGGGAGCTTCCAGAGGCTTCACTTGAACAGACTATGGCTTCCTCTTGAACTCAGTGATTCTTACTTCTGAGTAGAGCATGCTTAGACATTGCACTAGTCACCAGGGCTTACTTTAGAACTTACTTATGAGTAAATATGCATAAACGTTAAAACTGCAAGTAAGTTCCCAGTAATATAAAGAATTATCTCACTTCATTTCCCAAAGCACAGGGTCATTTACTTCTCTGTCTGGTTTTAGTCCTTTGTGTCAATTTCCCTCTCCAACCCCACCCCATGAGAAACAGCAAGGGGACCGAGATCTGAATTGTGAAAAAGCAAACCCCCATATTTACAACCTTATCACAGGATTGTGGGAAAGAAGGTTCTCATGTCTCTTTACAGATCATAGCAGTCACATTTGGGGACGGGGGGAGAAAAACAGCTGTCCTAGCTGGGGAGCCCTAGTGGGACAAGGGAGCCACCTGGCACCAAGGAGTGTAGAGACACACGAGGGAGAGAGGGGCTGGTGCTGCAGCCCAACACAGCTGTCCTGGGCACCCCACATGCGTGGAGGGGGCTCTTCCCTCTGGAACAGGCAAAGTGAGGAGGGAGAGAAGGAAGGGGCTTCTGACTCAGAGGGTAGGATGGGATGAGGCAACAAAGGCAATAGCAAAACCGCTTTGGACCTATGGGGTGGAGTGGGTGGTCCCAGCTCATCATAGATTGGCTAACAGGCTGAAAGCATCAATGGCGCCCTCTGGAGGCTTCACATTGGGTAGAATTCTTAGTTTTGGCACTGTAGGCAGGCACTTTCGCTGTAATGTTTTCAGCACCTGCTAAAAACTTTTTTTATAAGCAAGCATGCCCAAACATATAAATTTGACATGTGTTTTATAATGGATTTTTTAAATAGCTGATTTTATTTTGAACAAAAATTACCCTAACTTGTTTTTAAATTTTGATGTGATCAGAAATTTTAATGTACGTTTTATGTAAACTGCTTAGAGGTTTTGATGATTAAGTGGTATATAAATCCTGTTACCTAAATAAAGGAGGAAAAGCCTCGGGTGTATTGCAGTATGCATTGGTCTCTGGGTCAGAATGCATTATCTTGCATTCACTGCCCCGCCACTGCATTGTCAATTCTTAATAGTTCGTATTTAAGCTGTTAGTATCATTTTCCGTACACAAAATCATTTTTTGATTATCCTTTCAAAAAAGAATAAGACAAACTGAGATGTCTCATAGCCATGGTCACAGTCTAATAAAGAGTTAAGCTTGCTTTGGGCCATTGACACAAATAGTCCTAAGTGTGCTTAACTCTGTCTTGGACTATAGCCATTGTTTGCTTGAAAAAATGTTTGAGGAGTGATAATAGGGTGGTTTTGCCTCGGGGAAAGTAATGGGTAAGACAAACTCACATGGCAAAATGCATGCCTTATGCGCAACAATTGATACATACAGTCAGTGCTTTTTCCCCTAAAAAAAATATTTAGGGATACTCTCATTTTCCTACTCATATTGAAATACTGCCCCTCAATGAGGCCAAACTTAGATTCACAAAACTTTTAGGGGTATGCATACCCCTGCATACAGTCCTTGCATGAGTACAGCTCATCATGTGGGGCAGGAGGTCTATGGGAAAGGAAAATCACACTTGTGGAGCAGCACACAAAAGCTGGGGAGGGGGGAAGAAGTGGCAAGAAACATCCCCTTCTCCAACCATCATCTTATTAAACAAACATCTTGGATTTCCTTTCTTTGGCAGAATTTCTGGAGTTTATGAAAGGCGTTGAATAAGCATGAGATCTCTGGAAAAGCAGCCTCGGACACCTCCAGTTCTGTTTTCCTTACTACTTGCATGATGTCATGTACTGAAGATGGTGAACATCAGGAAAGTGTGACCCATATCTTAAGTGCCTCAGATAGTCATCCAATGGAATATTTATTGAGTCAGGTTGTGGTCCTGTTTACTTGTTATTGCTTTCCATGATTATAATGTGCCCTTTAATGTATGAATGGGTTGTGCAGGTGACAATGAAAAATGAGGCTTAAATGACTATTGAGACATTTAATAATTCGCTACAAACTCTGATTTAACAGTGGAGCTACAGCTCATCCTCCACCAGTGTCAAGCGGAATGTAAAAGTACAGTGTGTACAGAAATAAAAATTTCTTTTTGAAATGCTAATAAAATTATTTTAAAACTAAAGTAGTTGTTGGTTTTGCAGAAGACTTTCACTGCCAAAAGGTGCTAGGGATGCTTATCAACATTTCAGGTTTGGGTTTATACTGGAGTGTCCTCATCAAAGATGTTGTGTACTGTATTCTCTGAACATATTTTTGTCAAGGTCTGTTTCTTTATTTCAAGAATTTTTACCCAGCTCTTCAGCCAAAAACATTAGGTAGCCATCCTCACTATACTCCTTTAGATGCTTGCGAAAAACTTTGATTTCACCAAGCGCAAGATTTAGTCATATGCATACAGTATTTGTTTTTAATATTTGCTGATTTTATCTATTGATAATTGATGTATGTACACTGCTTAAAGGTGTATCATCATCATCGCCACTATCACCCTGTAAAAAAAAAAAATGTTCCCAATGCAGCTTAAAAGGGTAAGGGACCCCTGACCATTAGGTCCAGTTGTGGCCGACTCTGGGGTTGCGGCGCTCATCTCACTTTATTGGCTGAGGGAGCTGGTGTACAGCTTCCGGGTCATGTGGCCAGCATGACTAAGCCGCTTCTGGAGAACCAGAGCAGCACATGGAAACGCCGTTTACCTTCCTGCCAGAGCGGTACCTATTTATCTACTTGCACTTTGAAGTGCTTTTGAACTGCTAGGTTGACAGGAGCAGGGACCGAGCAACGGGAGCTCCCCATCACGGGGATTCGAACCGCCAACCTTATGATCGGCAAGTCCTAGGCTCTGTGGTTTAACCCACAGCGCCATCCGCATCCCCCCAATGCAGCTTACTGATCAATTAAAAAACACACACACCAGACAATTCATGCTCTCAATATTACAATCTAAAAGGCATGTAGCAACAGGAATAAGGGATGAGGAAGAAAGATTGGGGGGGGAGAGCAATCTAAAGCACCAAAGTTATAGCTCTAATAATGAGCAGCTGGGATGGAAGTGTTCAGTCAGAGTGAATGAAAGGCTGCTGCTAAGTGACAATTGACTATCCGTCAAAGGCAGCTGGTTTCTCAGCAGAGCTGGCTGGATAGGCCACCTTCCCTGCTTTGCCTTCTGTTCTGCAGCCTGGTGTAATGGACTGCATGATCTGAGATTCTTAGGATGCCCAATTTTTCACCTTCTATTAGCTTCTGCACCCAAGCTGGCTATTAACATACTTTCAGAAATGTAACACTGGAAGACCTTTATTTATTAGAGCAGAGAGCATTTCTTCAGATGCTTAAAAGATACTGATCCATGGGTTGTTTCGACTCTTGGGTTTTGAGGAGCCCCTGAGCCAAGGAGTCCTTGGTGGGCTTGACCTCCTCTGCCATGTGCTCCTTCTGCCAACTTGTTTGGACTCTTTTTCCAGCTACAATCTGCACAATTGCCCAGAGGGAGTTGCTGCTCCATCGCCTCGCCCTTGTCATTTATTGCACGCTCAGAGGGCAGGTGAGCAGGCAGCAATAGCAAGGGGTTGGAGCAGCAGGGGGCTGCAGAGAATGGCAGTGGGCCCACTTCAGGGGCAAGTGCCCAATGACCGCCCCCTCCAGTGCCATTCCTGTGAGTGGGACTCTGGTGTCAGAGTGGAGATGAAAGACTCAGTTCACACTTCCCAGCACTGCTACTCTCCAGAGTGTCATATATTTGTGTTTAGTTACATATGATCTTAACATCTATATTTCAGGGTTGTTTGTCTGTCACTATCACTTCCAAAGCAGAGCATATTAACAAGAGCATATTAATCTTCTTTCAAAGCAAGAACTGGTATTCTGGAGAAAAAGATGACAGACATAAAAGACTGATAGGTTCTTCTACCCATTTCCCAGACCTAGAGCAGACTGCATAACTACCATTCTCATGGGCTTCAAAGCAACTCACAATTATTTATCATTTATCTAGATCCGAAATGACAACAAGCACAAAAGATGAGTGCTACACTGCAGAGAGAGGCACATCAGATACACAATTAAGTGGTTTCCAAGAGATGTGTTTTTCTAATAGTTTGGGCCAGGGCTTTCAAACATGCTATATATCCATTCCCCAGGCATAAAAACAAGAATGGATTCAAACTCAAAAGGGATAATGTATTATTGCATCTTTCAGAGAGTGTCTTTCGTGAGAGACATAATAGGAGAATTACGAGAGCTCATTATCCTTTGCACAGGGATCACTTCTTGCAAGCAAAATGGAAAGATGAATCATTCTCTGTTTTCCTCCAATGCTTCAACATCCCTTGGACCGAATGTGACGTGTAACGCCATCACCTGCTTGGATCATGTCAGGGAAAGGAAATACAAGTTTGGTCTTGGGGTGCTTATGATCCTTGGCACGCTTCTGGGTATTTGGTTCAACGGAACCATCATTCTACTAACCATCAAGCACAAATTTCTCAGGGCTCCTATTAATTACGCTGTGGTGAACTTGTCGGTTGCAGACATGGGCAGTATAGTCATTGGACTCTGCCCCATGACGGATGCTAATCTGCATGGGTATTACTTTGAAAACAAGTCTTTCTGCATCTTCCAGGGCTTTTCTGTTGCTCTGTTCGGTAAGTGATTCCAACCTACCCACCTATCTAGATTTATGTGTGTCATTGCTAATGGAAGTTCTGTTGCATACATAGTAGTCTATACATGCATTTATACAACCCATGTTGCATGCACAGATAGAAATTGTGGGGAATCACTGTCAGACATAGGATAATGTGAGCACAACTATAGTGAAGAAACAAATATTAAGTCAGAATGGAGATAATAATTGCTTGGGTTTTTTCCCTTGAATAAATTGATGGTGACAATCAGTTTGGGGCTTGGTCCAATTTGACATTTCAGATGGTTAAAAATATATATATATGTTGACCTTTCCAATTTCCAATTTGTATGTAAGTGGAATTTGAGGAATTCTCAGTATGTAAGTAAACATTTTGTTAAGCTCTGGTCACTACAGTCTAGTGAAAATGTAACTCAGTACCTGAACTGCATATCATATATTAAGGGAAGGCATCTGAACTGGAAACCCACATCTGAACCATATTTGTGAATCTTCAGGGAATTCAATATATAAGCTTCATCAACCACTGGAGTGAAAATTTGGACGGTTGCCTGGAGAGTTGTAAGTTAGTTATCACATAGATGGAAAGGTGGGAAGCTCACAGCACCCATCTCCTTCCTTTCTGCAGCTACCTCCTGGACATGCCTGCTAGTATGTGGATGAATGCTAGCTCAGAAGTAAAATGTCCTCTTGCTGTGGTGTGAGATGGAAAACAGGAGGGAGTCCCACCAAATGGGTGGGAAACCCCAGGTCCAGTGGTCATTCAACAGCAACCAAGCAAGCAAACCACCCACCCACATATTCTTCAAACTCCTGTGGTTTCTCTTGTGGGGAGGCCTAGAATTTTACACTTTCTTCTCATTCTGGACAAGCTGCTAGCAGAGGCAGATTTAGGGCAGCATGACAGGTTTCCCTGCACTGGACACTGAGCTGTGTGTGTGTGTGTGTGTGTGTGTGCTGCAGGGTGTCACAACTATGATGTAGTGCACATGCAGAATAGAAGGCGAGAGGGGTGAGAGGGGTGAATTTTGGCCTTGCACAGGGTGCTGCTGAAATTTGAAAGACCAAGGCACATCCCTGTTGCTAGCTTTACAACCATTACAGACACTCCAGAAAAGACCACCTAATGTGGTTTTCTCATTCAGTTTTATGAAGCATGATACTTTGTATGGTTAGGGTTGCTTCTTAAGCATCACCAAGAAACAGCAAATGTTTCAACAAGAAAAGGGAACAGAGCGTACGGATTTGCATAAAAGTTGCATATATGCTAATTTAGAAATAATTACAATACTTTATAGAATTACATCTTACTGTATTGGGGTCGACTTTGATCAGGTGACCTGTGTGATTGCTCATTTGACTGTCCGGGGACTAACTGTTGATGGTCAACTTCAAGGTCTCTTTAAACTGGACTTGTCCTGGACAGCCCTTTGAACAGAGGATGCCTTTGCATAAAGGACTGTCCACTGTAAAATAGGGTACATGCAGACTGCTGGGTCCACATTTCATCTCCATGGTGAGCTTATTAGGTGGTTTTGAGCAAGCAACTTGTTTCTCGGCCTCAGTCTGGGCCCTTTGTCTGCATCACCATCACCACCACCACACCAATATCAGTAGTAGTTCTCTTATTGTTTTTTATTACCTGCCCTTTACCAGCAGAGGCTGGGTTGCAGCAATTTAAAATTCAGTATTAAAAACAGTTAAAACAAAGTGCAGTCGCAGGAACAGGGTGGATCCTGAAAACATGTATCTCAGGTGTCAAAGGCCGGAGGAAAGAAATGCATCTTCAGCATTTGCTGAAAGCTGTATTGTATAGGTTGCAGATGCACCTCTGTGGGAAGTGAATCCCACAATTTAGGGGCTGCCACAGAGAATGCCCTCCCCCAGGACACCCACCCCAACTTCTGAGGGTGGTAGAAGGCCCTTTCTTGGAATTTTCCCCTCAGCCTGCCTTATAAGGAAGTGAAATATTAGTGAAATAGTACTTGTGAAGTGATTTGAACCCTGAAAGTTCTATACGAATGACAACAAGAATAATAATAGTAAAGGGTCCCTGTGGACCAGTCAGGAGGGCCTTGGAAAACGTCATTACCTCTTACACTTTATTTTCCTGAGTCCAGTGAGGCAAGAACCTGACCTAAATAAACATTAATTTCCTATACCAGGGTCACACCCACACCATACACACAAAGTCCATTGAAAGCATGTGGCTTCCCCCAAAGAAACATGAGAGCTGTAGTTTGTCAAGGGTTCTGGAAACTGTAGTTCTCTGAAGGATTCTTTGGGGGCAAGCCATGTGCTTTAAATGTATGGCATGGATGCAGGCCTGTTCAGACCTTGTCTGAGGCATGGGCTGAGAGTCTTGTTCTTGGTGTGACAGTGCAAGTCTGGAAGGCCCCTGGCAAGGCCCCCCTAGCTTGCTTAGCTCTCTGAAACCGGGGGCAAGTGTACCTGGCTGCCCCCCTCCCTCTGCAGCAGCC